GCACGTGCCTGTAATCCCAGCTACTCAGGAGGCTGAGGCGGGAGAATTGCCTGAACCCAGGAGGCGGAGGTTGCGGTGAGCCGAGATCGCGCCATTGCACTCCAGCCTGGGTAACAAGAGCGAAACTCCGTCTCAAAAAAAAAAAAAAGATACAAATATGAGGCCGAAGTGGTCAGATGACAAGGTCAGGAGTTAGAGATCAGCCTGGTCAACATGGTGAAACCGCGTTTTTACTAAAAATACAAAAATTAGCCAGGTGTGGTAGCATGCTCCTGTAATCCCAGCTACTCAGGAGGCTGAGGCAGGAGAATCACTTGAACCCAGAAGGCGGATGTTGCAGTGAGCCAAGATCACACCATTGCACTCCAGGCTGGGCAAAAGAGTGAGACTGTTTGAAAACAAACAGAAACTAAAACCAATAGTTTGAAAGTAAATGAATGGAAAAAGAAATAAAATGCAATAAAGAAATAAAGAAAAGATAAATGTTTGAGGTGTCAGATATACCAGTTACCCTATTTTGATCATTACACTTTGTATACATGTATCACAATATCACATGTATACCCAAAATATGTACTACCTTTATATATCAATTAAATATATATATGTGTGTATATATATATATATATATACACACACACACACACACATACATACATACATACATACATATGAAATATGCAAACACCAACTATGAGAAAGCTGGAGTGGCTATATTAATATCAGACCAAATATACTTTATTTATTTTATTTTACTTTTTGAGATGGAGTCTTGCTCTGTCACCCAGGCTAGAGTGCAGTGGCACGATCTTGGCTCACTGCAACCTCTACCTCCCAGGTTCAAGTGATTCTCCTGCCTCAGCCTCCCAAGTAGCTAGGACTACAGGTGTGTGCCACCACGCCCAGCTAATTTTTTTTTTTTTTTTGAGCTGGAGTCTCCTTCACCCAGGCTAGAGTGCAATGGCATGATCTTAGCTTACTACAACTTCTGCCTCCTGGGTTCAAGCAATTCTCTTGCCTCAGCCTCCCAAGTAGTTGGGATTACAGGTGCCCACCACCGTGCCCAGCTAATTTTTGTATTTTGTGTTTCACCATGTAGGCCAGGCTGGTCTTGAACTCCTTACCTCAAGTGATCCACCCACCTTCGCCTCACAAAGTGTTGGGATTACAGGCGTGAGCCACCATGCCCAGACTGAATTGTACACTTTAAATGGGTGAATTGTATGGTAATGAGTAAAACTGTTAATAAAAATGAGAATACCAGTTTTATGACTAACAAATAACTGATGGATGCAGTTTAGGTTTCTCTGCAGTTCAGTTTGTCCTTAGAGAATAAATTCCACTGAGGACTTACAGTCAAAATAATGTGAGCTAAAAGTAATTTGAAGTAATTCTTTTTTCTCTGTGGTTATGTTACCAACTTGATATTTAGTTATTGCATTAATTGACTTTTCCTATAGTAAAACAATTATTCCAGGATCTTAGTAGCTTACAGTGATAAACATTTATTTCTTGCTCAGGTTCTGAGTCCACTGCAGTGGTGCTTCCTGTGTGTCTTCCCATCCTGGGACTTCAGTTGAAAACACAGGTCCTATATAAGATCATGTAGGACTTGTGGAGGGCACAGGAATACAAGAGGGTTCCTAGAATTTGCACGACTCCCAAATCCTCTATGTGGACTGACACACTGTCACTTTTATCCATATTTATTGGTTTTGTATAAAAGGTTAAATTACATTTTTTACTTACTTGAGTTTGTATTGAACACCACCACATTCACTATCACCCAGTTTTTCCTCATCTTGCCCTATTCTGTATTTTATCTTTCCTTGTCCTTGTGAAAATATTGGTTCTCAATAACACTACTGTATGTATTTATTCTATTCTACAATATGTACAAAATGGTTTAAAAATTAAGATAATATCCCTACTAAAAACTTTCTATGAAAAGTTTAAGATATTTTTGAATTTCTTTTGCCTTTAGAATACGTATCACAGAGGATGCTCGTTCAAAAAACTGTTCAAGAGTTATTTGAATTATTTTCTGTGTGTGGTTATCAAGTTGGTAGTTATTTCCTTTTTAAAGATGGGGTCTTAGTCTGTTGCCCAGGCTGGAGTACAGTAGCACAGTCATAGATTATAGCTCACTGTAACCTTGAATTCCTGGACTCTGCCTCTGCCTCTTAAGCCTCCTGAGTAGCTGGGACTATAGGCACCCACTATCATGCCCACCTTTTTTTTTTCTTTCTTTTTGAGTAGAGACCAATCACTATTTTCCATGCTGGTCTTGAATTCCTGGCCTCTGGCCTCAAACAATCCTCTTGTCTCAGCTACCCAAAGTGCTGGGACTACAGATTGAGCCACTGCGCCCAGCACAAGTTGGTATTTTGTTTTGTTTTGTTTTGTTTTGAGACAGATTCTCGCTCTGTTGCCCAGGCTGGAGTGCAGTGGCCCAATCTCAGCTCACTGCAACCTCCCCCTCCCAGGTTCAAGCGATTCTCCTGCCTCAGCCTCCTGAGTAGATGGGATTATGGGCACCTGCCACCATGCCCAGCTAATTTTTGTTTTTTGGTTTTTGGTTTTTCTGGGATGGATTCTTGCTCTGCTGCCCAGGCTAGAGTGTAGCGGCATGATCTCGGTTCACTGCAACCTCTGCCTCCTGGGTTCAAGCAATTCTATGCCTTAGGCTCCCAAGTAGCTGGTATTACAGGCGCCCACCACCATGCCCAGCTAATTTCTGTATTTTTAGTAGAGACGGGGTTTCACCATCTTGGCCAGGCTGAGTCTTGAACTCCTGACCTTGTGATCTACCTGCCTCAGCCTCTCAAAGTGCTGGGATTACAGGCGTGAGCCACTGCGCCCAGCCAAGTTGGTGGGTTTTTTTGTTTGTTTGTTTTGTTTTTGTTTTTGTTTTTTTTGAGATGGAGTTTCGCTCTTGTTACCCAGGCTGGAGTGCAATGGTGCGATCTCGGCTCACCGCAACCTCCACCTCTCGGATTCAGGCAATTCTCCTGGCTCAGCCTCCTGAGTAGCTGGGATTACAGGCACGCGCCACCATGCCCAGCTAATTTTTTGTATTTTTAGTAGAGACGGGGTTTCACCATGTTGACCAGGATGGTCTCGATCTCTTGACCTTGTGATCCACCCGCCTCGGCCTCCCAAAGTGCTGGGATTACAGGCGTGAGCCACCGCGCCCGGCCCAAGTTGGTGGTTTTTTAAGAAGACAAAATACAGTTTGAATTGATACTGATACTTACAATTCAAATTAAGGATTATAAGGTTTTAAGTTTCATTATTATATCTGTATTTTCTATCTCCCATTGTGAAAATACTGATTCCCAGCAATACCAATGTAAGTATTCATTTACAACTATAATACCAGCATAAACAGTATCAAGATAACAGTACCAAGAGTGCTGATAATTATTATGATTATACTTTAATTTTTTATGATTGCTGAAAAAATTTAAAGTATTACTGAAAACAAAGTATTATGAATTTGATAAGTAGTGCAGTTGCTAACAGGAATAATCTCAGTTATTTCAGATCCCAATGAATTTCTTTGTAAAATCATATGGAAGGTCTTGTTCAAGCTTAAAACTATACTTAATCTATACAGTTCGAAGCAAAATAACTCATAGGATAATAAATGTATGTAATAAACCAGATAATAAATGCTCTGAGAAGTTTTGAATCTGTTTAGTCTTTTTTTTTTTTTTTTTTTGAGACGGAGTTTCGCTCTTGTTACCCAGGCTGGAGTGCAATGGCGTGATCTCGGCTCACTGCAACCTCCGCCTCCTGGGTTCAGGCAATTCTCCTGCCTCAGCCTCCTGAGTAGCTGGGATTCCAGGCACGCGCCACCATGCTCAGCTGATTTTTTGTATTTTTAGTAGAGACGGGGTTTCACCATGTTGACCAGGATGGTCTCGATCTTTTGACCTCGTGATCCGCCCGCCTCGGCCTCCCAAAGTGCTGGGATTACAGGCGTGAGCCACTGCACCCGGCCTGTTTAGTCTTTTATCAGAGTTTTTTGGCTTATTGTAAATCATTGCATTAACTTTTTGAGTTGGAGAGAAAGGCTGATGAAATTATTGTAGCTAGATTTTTCTCTTTGGATTGGTGAATGTTCTGCATCTATGCCCGAAACTGAGGCTGCCAGCAGAAAGCTTAGCCATAGCAGAGAGTAGAATAATATTAAAAAAACTAGGGTGTGGCAAGGCAAAGAAGTTGGAGATTGAAGATGTACGTGCTTGAGCTAAACTCTAGTAGTAATGTCTTCATGTTCCAAAGTTATCGGTAAGTATACAGTAGCAAATAACCATTTTGTTGCACTAATTAAATTAGTAGTCATGAGGATTAGTTACTGGAGAGGGATAAAGGTGATCTAATGTCTCTGATTTTGCTAATCATCTTGATGTAATAGAATCCCTTTATATAGCATTTGGTGTCATGGCATTGGTGAAATGCTTAAGAACAGCTTTTTAACTAGCTAATAATTGTTTTGTCCTAGAGCAGGCGTCTCCAATCCAAACTACGGCCTGCGGCTGCATGCGGCCCCCTGAGGCCATTTATCTGGCCCCCCGCGGCACTTCAGGAAGGGGCTCCTCTTTCATTGGTGGTCAGTGAGAGGAGCACAGTATGTGGCGGCCCTCCAACAGTCTGAGGGACAGTGAACTGGCCCCCTGTGTAAAAAGTTTGGGGATGCCTGTCCTAGAGCATGTGATTTACCATGTATTGAATAATGAATGGTTTTATAGTGGAGTTCTATTGCCTTTTTTTTTTTTTTTTTTAAGAGACAGGGTCTCTGTTGACCAGACTAGACTCAATCATCTGGGCTCAAGCGATCCACCCACCTCAGCTCTGCTGTATCGGACAACAAGCATGTGCCACTGTGCCCAGCTTATTGCTTTTGTCTATTGCTTTTTTTTTCTTTTAAATCCTTATAACCTGCCTTTATATGAATGTTATTAAGAGTGAATTTGTTTTTCTTTTTTTCTTAGGAGCAGCCACCATATCCTAGCTACAATTCTAACTATTGGAATTCTTCTGCAAGATCTAGGGCTCCTTACCCAAGTACATATCCTGTAAGACCGGAATTGCAAGGCCAGGTATGATTTAAAAACAGAGACTTTCTGAACTTTTTCTTAATGAATAGATTTATTTTCAAAACCTGTGTAGATTTCAGAGTAGTGGTGAGTATGGTTTTTTTCCTTTGTTTTAATGGGCTCCATCAATCTCATCTTAATGTTTTTAGCTCAGAGATAAATAACTAGGCAAATATTACCTATAGCTTGAGGCATAGTAAATGATTTTTCAGGACCCAGAAGCAACAAACATAAAACGTACTTATTTTTTAATATTTGACTTATTACAGACATTTAATTTAAAATATTTTAAGCATACAAAACATACAGAAAATATGTGCATTTTAAATCTGGCATGCAGGGCCGGGTGTGGTGACTCACGCCTGTAGTCCTAGCACTTTGGGAAGCTGAGGCGGGCAGATCACCTGAGGTCAGGAGTTTGAGACAGCTTGCCAACATGGTGAAATCCCATCTCTACTAAAAATACAAAAATTAGCTGGGCATGGTGGCAGGCACCTCTAATCTCAGCTACTTGGGAGGCTGAGGTGGGAGAATTGCCTGAACCCAGGAGGCACAGGTTGCAGTGAGCTGAGATCACACCATTGCACTCCAACCTGGGCAACAGAGGCAGACTCTGGAGATTCTGTATTAAAAACAAAACTAAACAAAAACTCAAAAACAAACAAATCTAGCATGCAGATTTGTCAATTCTTTTTTGCCACATTTGTTTCCGATTTTTAAAAAAGAAGTAAAAAAAATAAAATGGAAGCCCAATGACACTTCATTTACTGAAGTTTTATTTATTTATTTAAAACAGGGTCTCGCTCTGTTGCCCATCTCAGCTCACTACAACCTCCTTCTCATAGGTTCAAATGATTCTTCTGCCTCAGCCTCCTGAGTTGCTGAGACTACAGGCACGCACCACCATACCCAGCAAATTTTAAGATTTTTAGTAGAGACAGGTTTCACCATGTTGACCGGGCTTGTCTCCAACACCTAACCTCAGGTGATTGGCTGGCCTTGGCCTCCTGAAGTGTTGGGATTATGGCATGAGCCATTGTGTCTAGCCTACAGTTATATTTATTATTCCATTTGTGTTTTTATGCCTTTACAATGTGTATATATATATCCATAAACTTTATATACTTTTATTTAACATGTTTTTAAACTTGATATGTGTGATTTCATACTAACAAACACACTCCTACAGCTTGCTTCTTTTGCCCATTGTTGGTTTTCATCTTTCTGTTATATACATATGAGATAAGAATTTCCCTAGGGTATGGAATTTTTGGGTTTAAGTGTATACATTTTTATTAAATATAGCCAATTACTCTTCAAAATGGTTGTACTAACAAAGGAATAATTGTCATATTTTCATATTTCCATTTTTTTTTCTATCTAACCATATTTCTGGGTTTTTTGTTTGTTTGTTTGTTTGTTTGTTTGAGACAGGGTCTTGCTCTGTATCCCAGGCTGGCATAATGACAGCTCACTGCAGCCTCAACCTCTTGGCCTCAAGCCATCTTCCCACTTCAGCCTCCTGAGTAGCTGGGACTACAGCTGCACACTACCATGCCCAGCTAATTTTTAAAATTTTTCTTAGAGTTAAGGTTTTGCCATCTTACCCAGGCTGGTTTCCCAATCCTAGGCTCAAGAGATCCTCCCACTTCAGCTTCTCAAGTAGCTGGGACTACAGGTGCATGCTAATTTGTTTGTTTTTTTGTAGAAACAGGGTCCTGTTGTGTTGCCTAGTCTGTTTTCAAACCTCTAGCCTCAACCTATGTTCCCAAATTGGCCTTTCAAAGCACTGGGATTAGAGGTGTGAGCCCCTGTGCCTCACCTATAATGAACATGTTTATGTGAACCTCAGGATGAGGTTGATCAGAGATAATGGAATGCAAAATAAAAGAACATGTTAGTACTTATCACAAAGTTTCATTTTACTTGTGTCAGCCTTATCCCTGTGACTGAAATTGAGTAGTTATTATTATTATTATTATTTATTTATTTATTTATTTTTTGAGACAGAGTTTCGCTCTTGTTACCCAGGCTGGAGTGCAATGGCGCGATCTCGGCTCACCGCAACCTCCGCCTCCTGGGTTCAGGCAATTCTCCTGCCTCAGCATCCTGAGGAGCTGGAATTACAGGCACGTGCCACCATGCCCAGCTAATTTTTTGTATTTTTAGTAGAGACGGGGTTTCACCATTGTTGACCAGGATGGTCTTGATCTCTTGACCTCATGATCCACCCGCCTCAGCCTCCCAAAGTGCTGGGATTACAGGCTTGAGCCACCGCGCCCGGCATTATTATTGCTAAATGTTACATAGTTTTAGTTTGGCCACATATTACAAAATCCACCCTTCAAAGTGTGCAGTTCAGTGGGTTTTAGTATATTCATAAAGTTTACCCGTTATCACTGTCGAATTCTGGAACATTGTCATCACCCCAATTAGAAGCCCTGTACTTAAAATGTCATCACTCCCTCCCCCCAGCTCTTGGCAACCTGTAATCTACTTTTTATCGCTTAGGATTTGTCTAACCGGATATTTTGTATTGAATTCTACAGTATGTGGCCTTTTGTTTCTGGCTTCTGTCACTATGTAATGTTTTCAAGGTTCTCCATGTTGTGAGGATATACCAAATTTCATCAATTGATAGATATTTGGTGTGTCTTTCTTTTTTTTTTCTTCTGTCATAAGTGATGCTGCTACTACATTCATGTACAGGTTTTTATGTGGAAATATGTTTTTAGTTCTCTTTGCTCTATACCTAGACGTGGAATTGCTGGGTCATAGAGTAACCCTATATTTGTCAATTTGAGGAACTGGCAAACTGTTCTTCAAACTGTACCATTTTATATTCCCATCAGCAATGTACAAGGGCTCTGATTTCTCCACATCCTTACCAATATTTGTTTTCCTTTAAAAAAAAAATTAAAGCTGGCTGGGCGTGGTGGTTCACGTCTATAATCCCAGCACTTTGGGAGGCCAAGGCAGGCAGATCATGAGGTCAGGAGTTCAAGATTAGACTGGCCAACTGGTGAAACCCCATCTCTACTAAAAAATACAAAAATTAGCTGGGCATGGTGGCTCGTGCCTGTAATCCCAGCTACTTGGGAAGCTGAAGTAGGAGAATTGCTTGAACGGGGACCTGGGAGGCGGAGGTTGCAGTGAGCCGAGATTGCACCACTGCAGTCCAGTATGGGCTACCGAGTGAGACTCCATCACAAAAAAAAAAAAAAAATTATGGCCATCTTAGTGGGTGTGAAGTGGTATCTCATTGTGGTTTTGATTTGCAGTTCTCTGATGACTGATTTGAGCATCTTTTCATGTGCTTTTAGCCATTTATATATATTGTTTGGAGAAATGTCTATTCAGATTCTTTGGGCTGGGTGTGGTGGCTCACACCTGTAATCTCAGCACTTTGGGAGGTGGAGGTGGGCAGATCACTTGAGGCTAGAGACCAGCCTGAGGAGTTAGAGACCAGCCTGGCCAACATGGTGAAATCCCATTTCTGTAGTAATACTTTGCTTAAAATACAAACACACTGTACAGCGGTACAAAAATGTTTTCTTTCTTTATATCCATATTCTGTTCAGCTGCTTTTTCCTGTTTTTAAGTTTTTTGGGTTTTTTTGTTTGTTTGTTTTGAGATGGAGTTTCGCTCTTGTTTCCCAGGCTGGAGTGCAATGGTGCGATCTCCGTTCACCGCAACCTCTGCCTCCTGGCTTCAGGCAATTCTCCTGCCTCAGCCTCCTGAGTAGCTGGGATTACAGGCACACGCCACCATGCCCAGCTAATTTTTTGTATTTTTAGTAGAGACAGGGTTTCACCATGTTGACCAGGATGGTCTCGATCTCTTGACCTCGTGATCCACCCGCCTCGGCCTCCCAAAGTGCTGGGATTACAGGCTTGAGCCACCACGCCCGGCCTAAGTTTTTGTTTTTTTAAAAACTGTTTTTGTTAAAAAGGAAGGCACAAACACATTAGCGTAAGCCAACCTGGGGTCAGGATCATCAGTATCACTCTTTCACCCCCTCATCTTGGGGCAATAAGACGCATGGGAGCTGTCATCTGTGATTATGACTGGTTCTGGAATACCTCCCAAAGGACCTCCTTGAGGCTGTTTTATGGTTAATCTTTAAAAAATGTACCAGTAGAAGGAGTACACGCTAAGATAATGATAACAAGTATAGTATATAGTAAATACATAAACTAGTAAAATAGTCAATTATTATCACTAAGTATTATGTATTATATATAATTGTATGTACTATATTTATATACAACTGGCACACAGCAAGTTTGTTTACACCAGCATCACCATAAGCAGGTGAGTAATGCATTGTGCTACCACATATGACAGCTACACTGTTGCTAGGCAATAAAATTATTTGGCTACATTATAGTCCTGTGGGACCACTGTTACGTATGCACTCCACCACTGACTAAAACATCATTATGCAGTGCATGACTGTGTATGATTTACAAATAGTTTCTCCCATTCTGTGGGCTGTTTTTTCACACTCTGATTGTGTCCTTTGAAGCACAAAAGCTTTCAATTTTGATGAAGTGCAATTTATCTGTTCTTTTGTTGCTCCTGCTTTTGGTGTCTTATCTAAGAAGACTTTGTCTAACCAGAGGTCATAAAGATTTATTCCAATGATTTCTTCTAAGAATTTTTTATAGTTTTAGCTCTCACATTTAGGTCTACGACCCATTTTAGTTAATTTTTGCAATACGCTGTGAAGTAAGGCCCAAGTTCATTGCTTTACATGTGGATAGTTATGTCTCAGCACCACCAAGACTATGCTTTCATCACTGAATTATCTTGATACCCTTTTGTTTTTTTGAGAAGGAGTCTGACTCTGTCTCCAGGGATGGAGTATAGTGGTGCAGTCTCAGCTCACTGCAACCTCCACCTCCCAGGTTCAAGTGAGTCTCTTGCCTCAGCCTCCCAAGTAGCTAGGATTACAGGTGCTCCCCCCCACCACACCCAGCTAATTTTTTTTGTATTGTTAGTAGAGATAGGGTTTCACCATGTTGCACGGGCTGATCTCAATCTCCTGACCTCTAGTGATCCACCTACCTGCCTTAGACTCCCAAAGTGCTGGAATTATAGGTATGAGCCACCATACCCTTCTTAAAAATCATAAATGTACCCTTTGGTACCCTTCTTAAAAATCATAAATGTAAGGGTTTATTTCCAGATTCTCAGTTCTGTCCCATTGATCTATATGTCTGTCCTTAAGCCAGTACCAAACTGTTTTGATTATTATGGCTCTGAAGTAAATTTGAAATCCAGAAGTGTGAGTCTCTTCAAAGAGATGGACTCTCAATCTCTTTTTTCTTTTTCTTTTTCAATATGTTTTTGGCTATGCTGGGTCCCTTGCATTTTCATTTGAATTTTAGGATCAGCTTTTCAACTCACGCAAACAAGGCAGCTGATTTTTCCATTGAGATTGCATTATAGATCAGTTTGGAGAGTAGCATGTGTACTTTTATAGTTAATGTAAAAGGGAGACAACACCCTCCAAAGTCATGAATTACAAGTTAATGTTAATTTTTCTGATTTTACTGATTGATCTTACTGATAAAGGTTGCTTTTTCTCATGACATTTCCTGCTTAGGTAAAAGTATTTATTACATTCATATATAGGTTCAAGAAAGATTAACTCATAATTTAGTAGTAACTTTTTTAAAGCAACAGTAATAATGTGCGAGTGTTTTTAGATACAACATACAAGTTGTTGTATTTAAAATAACCCAAAGATGTCTAGATAAAACCTTTTTGGGGTGAGCACATGTGTATTTTCTGGTGAAATGGCAAGTGGAGATTATACATTTATCATCTTTTTTGTTTTTTTTTTGAATCGGAGTTTTGCTTTAGTTGCCCAGGCTGGAGTGCAATGGCACAAACTCGGCTCACTGCAACCTCTGCTTCCTGGGCTCAAGCAATTCTCCTGCCTCAGCCTCCCGAGTAGCTGGAATTACAGGCATGTACCACCATGCCCAGCTATTTTTCATGTTTTTAGTAGAGACGGGGTTTCACCACGTTGAACAGGTGGGTCTCAAACTCCCAACCTAGGCTAGTCTTGGTCTTGAACTCCTGGGCTCAGGTGATCCTCCTACCTCATCATCCCAAAGTGCTGGGATTATAGGCATGAGCCAGTGCACTTGGCCTAGCTTCTATCCAAAACAGACTCCTATCGTGGTATATAGATACGATTGGTTTCCTTTTAAAAACATTAAGCAGTATCATCTCTTTGCCTTCTGGCGCTACCTCCTTGGGTTAGCCTTGCCACATGGTCATTCTTCTATTTGGTAGGATTTTTTTTGCTTTTTTTTTGAGACAGAGTTTCACTCTTGTTGCCCAGGCTGGAGTGCAATGGTGTGATCTCGGCTCACTGCAGCCTCCACCTCCTGGGGTCACGTGATCCTCCTGCCTCTACACCCAGTTAATTAATTTTTTTTTTTTTTTTTTTTTTTTTTTTTTTGGTATTGACAAGGTCTTCCTGTTTGCCCAGGCAGGTCCCAAACTCCTGGGCTGAAGCCATCCTCCTGCCTTGACTTCCCAAAATGCTGGGACTTTTACAAGCATCCGTCCCTGTGGCTGGCCATAACAGTAAAATTTGGAGACTGAATTAAAAGTTTTTTTTTTTTTATTTTTTAGATGGAGTTTCACTCTTTGTTACCCGGGCTGGAGTGCAATGGCGCGATCTCGGCTCACCGCAACCTCCGCCTCCTGGGTGCAGGCAATTCTCCTGCCTCAAACTTCTGAGTAGCTGGGATTAAAGGCACACGCCACCATGCCCAGCTAATGTTCTGTATTTTTAGTAGAGATGGGGTTTCACTATGTTGACCAGGATGGTCTCAATCTCTTGACCTAGTGATCCACTCCACCCGCCTCGGCCTCCCAAAGTGCTGGGATTACAGGCTTGAGCCACCGCGCCCGGCAGAAGTTTTTCAATTAATAGTCCTTAATCTACTTAAAGATTCCATTATTAGTTATTATTATTATTATTTTTTGAGACGGAGGTTTGCTCTTGTTACCCAGGCTAGAGTGCAATGGCGCAGTCTCGGCTCACCGCAACCTCTGACTCCTGGGTTCAGGCAATTCTCCTGCCTCAGCCTCTTGAGTAGCTGGGATTACAGGCACGCGCCACCATGCCCAGCTAATTTTTTTTGTATTTTTAGTAGAGACGGGGTTTCACCATGTTGACCAGGATGGTCTCGATCTCTTGACCTCGTGATCCACCCGCCTCGGCCTCCCAAAGTGCTGGGATTACAGGCGTGAGCCACCACACCCTGCAAGGATTCCATTATTATAGAACATTTAGGTTGTTTACAATTTTGTATGATTGTAAATAATGCTGCAATGAAGAATATCATGCCTATAACTTTTTCTGTAGTTGAATAATTTCCTTAGGATTTCTGCAAGTTGAATAACATTACAAAAAGCCACATAATGTTTTATTAGGTCTCCAATTTATTAAGGGGTTCTTTGTTTATGCCTGAAGACCTTAACAACCTCTTAGTAGTTATAACCAAATGGTGGTTCATGGTCTTCTGCTCAGGGAATGCATTGCTGACTATTGCACCTCGTCCTGCATGGAATTCTTTAGTCATGGGTATCCTCGTACCTAAAGTGGAAAAGATTATGTACTCTTGGAGATGCAGATAAGTATAGGAAAACTTGATTCTGTGTTTTTTACTGTTTTTAAAGGGTAAAGTAGAAATTAATAGAAAGCATTAAGGTAATCATTGAAATTTAGTATTAAGCTTGAATCTTTTTTTTTTTTTTTTTTTTTTTGAGACAGGGTCTTGCTCTGGTGCCAGGCTGGAGTACAGTGGCACGATCTTGGCTCACTGCAACCTCTGCGTTCTGGGTTCAAACGATTCTCCTGCCTCAGCCTCCCGAGTAGCTGGGACTACAGCCAGGAGCCTATGCCTAGCTACTTTTTGTATTTTGAGTAGAGACCGGGTTTCACCATGTTGGCTAGGATGGTCGTGATCTCCTGACCTCATGATCTGCCTGCCTTGGCCTCCCAAAGTGCTAGGATTACAGGCGTGAGCCACCGTGCCTGGCCCTGAATCTTTTTTAAAAAATGACTTTATATATATATATATATATGAAATTTGACTATGTTGCTGAGGTTGGTCTAACTCCTGAGCTCAAGTGATCCTCCCTTCTCAGACACCCAAAGTGCTGGGATTACAGGCATGAGCCAGTGCACTTGCCTAGTTTGAATCTTGTTTGGATTATTGAACTGAAGATTCTGGGTATGGATAAGAGTCTGAATAGGTGATTTAAAACTACAATGAGGAATATATGAGGAGTTTGTCTCTGTTTTCTGTTGTTGATATCAGTTGGAATGATCATCTGGGATACAGAGTGATGGTATAATACAAAGAACATGGACTCAGAGTCAGATCTGGGTTCATTTCATGACCCAGCCATGGCAAAACTAACAACAGTGATAATGCAAATAATTACCATTTTTTGAGCATACTATGTGCCAGACACTATGCTAAACATTTTACATATGTCATCTTATTTTAACAGATAAGTCAAGATAAATTTGTGATCTTCATTTTCCTGATGGAGAAATTGAAGCTAGGGGAGGTTAAATACAAAGCCTATAGCAGGGCTAGGTATATCTCTGTAGTCTTTAAAAAATTTTTAAAAATATTTTCATATACTTTTTGTGACAGGCTCTCACTCTGTTGCCCAGGCAGGAGTGCAGTGTTACACCCATGATTCACTGCAGCCTTGGCCTCCTGGGCTCAAGCAATGCTTCCCACCTCAGCCTCCTGAGTAGCTGGAACTACAGATGTGCACCATGTTGCCTGGCTAATTTTTTTCATTATTATTTATTTATTTTTTTGAAGCAGAGTTTCACTCTTATTGCCCAGGCTGGAGTGCAATGGCGCAGTCTTGGCTCCCTGCAACCTCCACCTCCCGGACTCCCGGATTCAAGTGATTCTTCTGCCTCAGCCTTCTGAGTACCTGGGATTATAGGCGCCTGCCACCACGCCTGGCTAATTTTTTGTATTTTTAGTAGAGATGGGGTTTCGCCATGTTGGCTAGTCTGGTCTCGAACTCCTGACCTCAGGCAATCCACCCCCCTCGGCCTCCCAAAGTGCTGAGATTCCAGGTGTGAGCCATCACACCCGGCTAATTTTTAAATTTCTTTTTGTGGAAACTAGGTCTCACTATGTTGCCCAGGCTGGTCTCAAACTCCTGACCTCAAATGATACTCCCACCTTGCTGGTATTATAGGTGTGAGCTACTGTGCCTGGCCTGCATTGGTGATTAATATCTTCTCAAAGTTTTCACGTTTAGGCATTAAGTCAGGGCATTTCAGCTCTTCTACTAATTCATCTTTTTTTCTCTGAACTTGCTTTTTTGCAGAGTTTGAATTCCTATACAAATGGAGCATATGGTCCAACATACCCCCCAGGCCCTGGGGCAAATACTGCCTCATACTCAGGGGCTTATTATGCACCTGGTTATACTCAGACCAGTTACTCCACTGAAGTTCCAAGCACTTACCGTTCACCTGGCAACAGCCCAACTCCAGTCTCTCGTTGGATCTATCCCCAGCAGGACTGTCAGACTGAAGCACCTCCTCTTAGGGGGCAGGTTCCAGGATATCCGGCTTCACAGGTGAGTTGTTTTCTGTTGGGGAAAAAATGAATTCAAAGTCTCTGCTTCTTGTAAATAGTGGAAGGGCATCTGTTCGTACTAGTGCTGATTTAATAAGACACTTTAGATTGGGAAGGCTTTTATGGTGATGCCTTTCTCACATGTAGCAGCTATTGCAGTAAGTGGACTTTGGCTGAAGGTACCTTAAAGATGTCATAATCATAAATTTTTTTTTTTTTTTTTTTTTGAGACGGAGTTTCGCTCTTGTTACCCAGGCTGGAGTGCAATGGTGCGATCTCGGCTCACTGCAACCTCCGCCTCCTGGGCTCAGGCAATTCTCCTGCCTCAGCCTCCTAAGTAGCTGGGATTACAGGCACGCGCCACCACGCCCAGCTAGTTTTTTGTATTTTTAGTAGAGACGGGGTTTCACCATGTTGACCAGGATGGTCTCGATCTCGACCTCGTGATCCACCCGCCTCGGCCTCCCAACGTGCTGGGATTACAGGCTTGAGCCACCGCGCCCGGCCAATCATAAAATTTTTATACTGAAAGTAATCTTTAGAGTTGCTGCTTGAAAGTTTCCCTATCTTAGCCTTTTTCAGGACCCTGTAGGTGTGTATTTTTTTTAATATTCTGTACATGATAACTGTTTATTTCTCTGTTCACTTCAAGAGGAGTTCTAACATGTCTTTATTTGTGCTTCCTTATAGCATCTAGGTCCATTTGTTTATAGTATCTATGGGACAGACTTAGTATTCATCCATTAAATTTTTAGGCCTATTCCTTCTGAGTTTTATTTTCATTAAATCTATCCCTGGTATCTTTAGAACTAACTTTTTGAGGCTTGGAAAAATTACTGGAACTGATTAGAGTTATTACTGTTTGGTCCAGTAGCAGCTAATGCATACTCTGTTAAGAAGAGAGGAAGCATCTCAGAATCTTCTTATATAGAATATTTTTATTACAAGTTTTTAACAATGACTAGTATATTTCTTCCTCTCAATCTAGAACCCTGGAATGACCCTGCCCCATTATCCTTATGGAGATGGTAATCGTAGTGTTCCACAATCAGGACCAACTATACGACCACAAGAGGATGCATGGGCTTCTCCTGGTGCTTACGGAATGGGTGCCCGTTATCCCTGGCCTTCATCAGCACCCTCAGCACCACCTGGCAATCTTTACATGACTGAAAGTACTTCACCATGGCCTAGCAGTGGCTCTCCCCAGTCACCCCCTTCACCCCCACTCCAGCAGCCCAAGGTAGGAGACCTAAACATTGTTCCTTTGATGTGTGTGTAATTAAGAGAACATAACATTGTTTATATAGTTTCTGTATTGGTTTGTGTTAAACGGGAACTAATTGCAAAAAGTTGGTGACGGTCGGGCGTGGTGGTTCATGCCTGTAATCCCAGCACTTCGGGAGGCTGAGGCAGGCAGATCAAGAGGTCAAGAGATCGAGACCATCCTGGCCAATATGTCGAAACCCCATCTCTACTAAAAATACGAAAATTAGCTGGGCATGGTGGCGCAGACCTAGACTCCCAGCTACTCAGGAGGATGAGGCAGAAGAATTGCTTGAACCCAGGAGGCAGAGGTTGCAGTGAGCAGAGATCCCACCACTGCACTCCAGCCTGGCGACAGAGTGAGACTACTATCTATAGCTTTACCTCAACTCAATTTCCTTTTTTTTTTTTTTTTTAGTCGACTTTAGAGAAGATTTACAGTCTAAGAGACAGAAAAATACACATTTTCTGTTGTGATTCTTCTAAATGTTAAATGCAAAGACTGTGTTTTACGACTTCAAATAATCTATGGACAGAAGACAAAAAAACCCAATGTGAAATATCTGCAGTATGAGCTTGTATTTAAACCACAGACTTGAACATTATCACCTGTGGCTGTGTTCCTATTCAAGACCTTGCTTGAGGTTTTCACCTTTTAGAGGAAAAACTAGTTCTTATTGGTTAAGTCACAGGATAGATTATGAGGTCCTCATGGTGATGGGTCTGCCACAGGGCAGGTTCCAGCCATTGTAACTCAGAAATTCTGTGTCTTTTGTCTGCGTGGCACTCCCTTTTACCTTCTTAGGACTGTTTTTTGCAAATGATTAAGGAGAGAGGTCCAGTTTTATTGGTAGGGAATCTTTTCATGTACCTTTCTGGTCAAGTGAAAGATGTGGGCTAACAAATTTGATGTTGATGGATTCCCATTAAGACAGCTTTTTTCCTCTTTTTGCTCTCTCCAAGGATTCTTCATATCCCTATAGCCAATCAGATCAAAGCATGAACCGGCACAGCTTTCCTTGCAGTGTTCATCAGTACGAATCCTCGGGGACAGTGAACAATGATGATTCAGATCTTTTGGATTCCCAGGTCCAGTATAGTGCTGAGCCTCAGCTGTATGGCAGCACCACCAGTGACCATCCCAACAATCAAGATCAAAGTAGCAGTCTTCCTGAAGAATGTGTACCTTCTGATGAAAGTACTCCTCCGAGTATTAAAAAAATCATACATGTGCTGGAGAAGGTCCAGTATCTTGAACAAGAAGTAGAAGAATTTGTAGGAAAAAAAACAGACAAAGCATACTGGCTTCTGGAAGAAATGCTAACCAAGGAACTTTTGGAACTGGATTCAGTTGAAACGGGGGGCCAGGACTCTGTACGGCAGGCCAGAAAAGAGGCTGTTTGTAAGATCCAGGCCATACTGGAAAAATTAGAAAAGAAAGGATTATGAAATGATTTAGAACAAAGTGGAAGCCTGTTACTAACTTGACCAAAGAACATTTGATTTGGTTAATTACCCTCTTTTTGAAATGCCTGTCGATGACAAGAAGCAATACATTCCAACTTTCCTTTGATTTAAACTTGAAAAACTGGCAAAGGAATGGAAGAATATTTTAGTCATGAATTGTTTTCAGTTTTCAGACGAATGAATGTAATAGGAAACTATGGAGTTACCAATATTGCCAAGTAGACTCACTCCTTAAGAAATTTATGGATATCTGCGAGCTGCTTCTTAACAGCAGGAGGGAAACACACTTTAAGTAACAGGCTTATCAGAAACCTACCAGATGAAACTGGATATAATCTGAGACAAACAGGATCTGTTTTTTTAAACATCTGGATATCTTGTCACATTTTTGTACATTGTGACTGCTTTCAGCATACACTTCATGTGTAAATTATAGCTTAGACCAGGCGTCCCGAAACCATGGCGGGCCGCATGCGGCCCCCTGAGGCCATTTATCCGGTCCCCCACCGCACTTCAGGAAGGGGCACCTCTTTCATTGGTGGTCCGTGAGAGGAGCACAGTATGTGGCGGCCCTCCAACGGTCTGAGGGACAGTGAACTGGCCCCCTGTGTAAAAAGTTTGGGGACGCCTGGCTTAGACTTTAGCTTTCTTGGACTTCATTTTGTTTTGTTATTTGCAGTTCACAAATATAGTATTATTCTCTACTTCTTGGTACATTTTGTAGTAATATGTTTAATATAATTATTGAAGAGACTATATTAACAGCCAGTATGGCAGTTCTGAAAGAATTTTTATCTTTTCACCACTTGAATATACTGTAATGTGTAGTGAGTAATTCGTTTCCCTTTTTGTATAGGTCGTTAGGTTAGTGTTTTTTACCACTTCTACTGTTCATGGTAGTAGTGGAAGTAAATTTGGAAATGGCATTGACATAAAATGAAAATGTTTATGGACATTTTTCTTTTTTGCTCTTTTATTGTATTTGGATAAAGATCCACTTAAAAATTACCTGTTTTTTTTTTTTTTTTCTCAAAGTGTAATTATGTTTTCACTATTGCTGCTTCTATAGAGGGCATTGTGATAGAGAGATACAGATGAAACATTAAATGCCACAGTGAGTAGAAATAATGACTATAAAAAGTAATATTATTTGGTAATATAATTCTCCATTTAAAACATTAGTTTCACCTATGAGTAGATTTCAGCTCAGTTTATAGTTTAAAAACAATGAGGGTAAAAGGGTATTCATGCTCAGGGAATGAATCAGCCATAGTTAGAATGGTAAATTATTATTTTCTTCATTTAAAGGTAGATTTTATGTTTATCTTTCTCTAAATTGCATAAAATAAGATTATAATAAAAAGACATTTATTACCATTATTAACAGTTATTTTAGAGCCAAATTTAAGAAAAGGATATTGAAAGGGTCTCTGTTGGCCTTGCTTGGGTAGCTCTGTGCTATTATAGAAGAGACTTACGTAAATAACTTTTCCTGTCTTAGGTGAGTACACAACATTGGTTCTTGGAAAAATAGCTGTTTCTTCGTCAGATACCCAAGTTATAATTTTTTACCTCCTAGACTGTCAGGCCTATGAGTAATACTAAACCTATTAGCTATCTCCACTCATAAAACAAACCAAACCAATACAAACATACTAGATGAAGAGAGGAAAGAAGTAAAAATACTGGCTGGGTCTTATTGTTGGGATGAGTGATTTTATAAGATAATATGGTGATAATTTTATTCTAGGATTTTATTTTTGGCCTAATATATGAATGTTTAAAAAGGCTTTTCTATGAAAATTAGAAATTTATACTTGAGGTTAGAAGTCTAGAAGGGGGAGGACCTTAAAGCTAAGTTACCAGTAAGACAGTGAGTAATCAGAAGCGAACACTACTCTTTTACTGACTGAGTGCCCAAGATGCCAATTTCCATGAAGTCTTGATTTATATATATGTACACTTGTTATGCACATATATACATATGTGTGTGTGTTTTTTACCAGTTATTTTTTAAGTTTTTGAGATGATTTTAGACTTACAGAAGAGTTGTAAAAATAGTAGAGTTCTTGTATACTCTGCACCCACCCTGCCCTTATGTTAACATCTTATGTAACAATAGAACATTTGTCAAAATTAAGAAATTAACCTTAATACTATTAACTAAAGTAGAAAGTTTAAAAAGTAGAGATTTTAGTCTTTTCACTAATGTCCTTTTACTGTTCCAAGACCCAGCCTTGCATTTAGCTGTCATGTCTATGTTGTGTCCTCCAGTCTATGACAGTGTATCATAACGGGATACCTGATGTTGTAATGTATTTCTGGTGTTGTTAACCTTGATCACTCTGCTAAGGTGGTGTCTGCTACGATTCGCTATTGTAAACTTACTGTGTTTTCCTTGTAATTATTGAATATTTGCTGGAGATACCCTGAGACTATGCAAATGTCCTGTATCTGCTTAAACTTTTGCTCATTTTACTACCCATTGGCAGATCTTGCTTGTGGCAGTTACTACTGTGGTGTTCTAATGGTGATTTTCTATTTCTCTCAATCCTTCTACGTTTATTAATTGGAATTCTTCTGTAAGGAAGAGTTGTCACTTCTGGATTTATATTTTTAATTAAAATAAGATATTCAGGATAAGTATAGATTTAGAACTTAAAGATGTTAAATCATGTTAAAATTATTCCAAATACCAGTATCAAAGAAAACTAAGTTGGTAATCTATCTCAGAAGATATAATGAACTTAAGAAGGAAAATAGTATTTATGGTTTGTAGAATTGGTTCAACTTTTGACTTAATATTAACTTTGGAATGAATTCAAAGTTTTCTTGACATTTCACATCTGGACTTTTTAAAGTGTCTACATTTATATTACTTTGGGGATCGTTTTGTCAAAGTCTTGAATAAAGTTACCCAGTCCTGGCATGATAAACACAACTATGATTTCTTTATAATAACCCTCTATTGTTCCAAGTATGAATGACAATGTAACTGTTTAAACAAGCCCTAATGAAGTATATGGGGGTTGGATTATATGTGTCTCCACATGTTAGTGCAGAATTCATTTTTTTTTTTTTTTTTTTTTTTGAGGTGGAGTTTCGCTCTTGTTACCCAGGCTGGAGTGCAATGGCACGATCTCGGCTCACCGCAACCTCCGCCTCCCGGGTTCAGGCAATTCTCCTGCCTCAGCCTCCTGAGTAGCTGGGATTACAGGCACGCGCCACCATGCCCAGCTAATTTTTGTATTTTTAGTAGACACGGGGTTTCACCTTGTTGACCAGGATGGTCTCGATCCCTTGACCTCATGATCCACCCGGTTCGGCCTCCCAGAGTGCTGGGATTACAGGCGTGAGCCACTGCGCCCGGCACAGAATTCTTTTAAATGCTTTTAAAAATGGAGTTTTGGGGCCAGGCACGGTGGCTCGAGCCTGTAATCCCAGCACTTTGGGAGGCCGAGGTGCGTGGATCACGAGGTCAAGAGATCGAGACCATCCTGTTCAACATGGTGAAACCCCGTCTCTACTAAAAATACAAAAAAAGCTGGGCATGGTGGCGCGTGCCTGTAATCCCAGCTACTCAGGAGGCTGAGGCAGGAGAATTGCCTGAACCCAGAAGGCGGAGGTTGCGGTGATCGCGCAATTGCACTAAGAGCGGAACTCTGCCTCAAAAAAAAAAAAAAAAAAAAAGATGGAGTTTTGAAAACAGTTCTTTAGTTGGTTAATGTCAATAATACCATTATAGGTAGACAGGTTTTGAGGCAGAGTTTCGCTCTTGTTACCCAGGCTGGAGTGCAATGGCGCGATCTCGGCTCACCGCAACCTCCGCCTCCTGGTTTCAGGCAATTCTCCTGCCTCAGCCTCCCGAGTAGCTGGGATTACAGGCACGCGCCACCATGCCCAGCTAATTTTTTTGTATTTTTAGTAGAGACGGGGTTTCACCATGTTGACCAGGATGGTCTCGATCTCTCGATCTTGTGATCCACCCGCCTCGGCCTCCCAAAGTGCTGGGATTACAGGCTCGAGCCACCGCGCCCGGCACGGTAGATAGGTTTTAAAAAACGTTGAAGAAGGCTGGGTGCGGTGGCTCACACCTGTAATCCCAGCACTTTGGGAGGCCGAGGCGGGTGGATCACGAGGTCAAGAGATCGAGACCATCCTGGTCAACAAGGTGAAACCCCGTCTCTACTAAAAATACAAAAATTAGCTGGGCATGGTGGCGCGTGTCTGTAATCCCAGCTACTCGGAGGCTGAGGCAGGAGAATTGCCTGAACCCAGGAGGCGGAGGTTGCGGTGAGCCAAGATCGCGCCATTGCACTCCAGCCTGGGTAACAAAAGCAAAACTCCGTCTCAAAAAAAAAAAAAAAAAAAAAAAAGTTGAAGAATGTAGATTAAAGGCCAGACGCAGCGGCTCACACCTGTAATCCCAGCACTTTGGGAGGCCGAGGCGGGCGGATCACAAGGTCAAGAGATCGAGACCATCCTGGCCAACTTGGTGAAACTCTGTCTCTACTAAAAATACAAAAATTAGCTGGGCGTGGTGGCACGTGCCTGTAGTCTCAGCTACTCGGGAGGCTGAGGCAGGAGAATTGCTTGAACCTGGGAGGCAGAGGTTGCAGTGAGCCAAGATCGTGCCACTGCACTCCAGCCTGGCTCCTGGTGACAGAGCAAGACTGTCTCAAAAAAAAAAAAAAGAATGTAGATTAAATGGGCATTATATAAAAAGTTTTTTGGGGATGGATAGTTGATGGAACTTTTCTTTTACAAATTTACTTTTACTTTAAAAAAAAGTTAGGAGTTTACATCAATTCATAGAAGTTAGGAGTTTAAAAGTCAGTTCTATGATCAGTTCGCCTGATCCCACTCCCATTTTTCCTTCTCTAATGGTAACCACTTTCAATTGAGTTTTTCTTTTGTTAATCAAAAAATTTTGTTTTTAGAGACAGAGTCTTGCTGGGCTCTAAACTCATAGCTCAAATGATCCTCCCGCCTTAGCCTCCTGAGTAGCTGGGACTACAGGCATGGACCACCTCAACCAGCTTGAATTGAGTTTTTAAAAAATGTATTTCTATATTATTTTGGAGACAGGGTTTTACACCGTGGCCCAGGCTAAAATGCAATGGTGTGATCCAGCTTGCTTCAGCCTCAATGTCCCAGGCTTAGTTGATCATACCTTACTCTGCTGAGTAGCTGGAACTACAGCTATGCACCACCACACCCAGCTAATTTTTCTATTTTTTATAGTGATGAGGTTTTGCCCTGTTGCCCAGGCTGGTCTTGAACTCCTGGGCTCAAACGGTCCTCCCATCTCAGCCTCTCAAAGCACTGGGATTCCAGGCATAAGCCACCATGCCTGGCTTTGTATTCTTTGAAGTATGGTTTTATTGCCCTGGAAACCCAAAATTATTTTTATTATTATTTTTATTTTTTTTGAGACACGCCTGCTATATCACCTAGGCTGGAATGTAGTGGTGCAATCTT